AATCTCCATTAGGGCAGGGATTTCCTGATTCCAAAACCTAGAACAATGCCTGTCACATAGTGTTAGTGAAAATTTGTTGAATGATCTGTTTTAAAGAAAAAGGTGGATTGATTAAATTGAGGAATATCCATTTTATAGAATATTATATAATCTTCATTAATCATATTTTCTAGGCCTAACTACATACCAAGTTACTTGATTGAAAACACAAACAAATGTAGAAAAGAGAAATTTTACATATTTTCCTAAAAAAACTTGGCAGTGCAACTTGCTTTATAATCAGCAATTTTAAAAAAATTTTGTTTATAAAATGATAGCAGAAGAAATGCTCATTTTGTGACATTAAGAGGAAAGAGCAGTAAGCAAAATATCTGTTATAAAAGAAAGAAAGAAAACACAAGAAGAAGTACATCAAAATATTTAAATAATCTCAGCACTTTGGGAGGCCCAGCCAGGAAAATGACTTGAGGTCAGGAGTTTGAGACCAGTCTGGCCAACATGGTGAGAACGTGTCTTTACTAAAATACAAACATTAACAGGGCATGGTGGCGCACACCTGTAACCCCAGCTACCCAGAAGACTGAGGCAGGAGAACTGCTTGAACCTGGGAAGTGGAGGTTGTAGCGAGCTGAGATCACACCAATGCACTCCAGCCTGGTAGACAGAGGGAGACCCCGTCCCTCTCCCCTCCAAAAAGAAATTAATAGTAATTATTGGAGGTTGAAATGTTAATCATTTTTATTTCTACTTCTTTATATTTTCTGCAATTAATTTTTTTACAGTAATATGGTAACACTTCTATAATTTTGGGAAAATTAAATCACTTTAAAAGATAGTATTAAGGCATTTCCTTCCCCTAATTTTTCCTGTTTAGAACTACCAGGCATGTTAAATGCAAGCTTAAGTGAGATCCTAAAAAGAAGATGCTCCAGGCTTAATTCTGCTTAGCTACACAAAGATAATTTGCCTGTAACAGTCATGGAGCAGGCATGTGCAGGCAAGGGGCCAGACGTGTTAAGCATATTATTAAACTCTTTGGCATTTCTAAAGAGCGTAGTAAGATCATTCTTTGTTTTCCCCACATTCTCTCCTGTTTTGATAGCCCAAAGCTACCCAATAGAAATTCTGGAGTATTGCCGTATAGTCACTTCTAAAGGGGCAAAAGATTGGAGGCTGGCTCTGGAGGTTCTGAGGGCCCTGAGATGCTCAGCTAGAAAGTCCAGGCAGTCATCAGCAAACAGCCTTCCTCAGGTAAATATCTTGGGGAGTGCAGTGAGTGGGCGGCTAGTGTACTCCACCGGGTAAGCTCTCTTTCTGTTTCTCGGCTTCCCCTTTTCTGCATTTGGACACCACTGGAGAACATGTTGTAACTATGTATATCAACTCTAAGGAAATTCAGGAGCTTTCGTTTTTACTGGCTCTTAATATTGTTTGTAGCTGTTTGCATTGTGGTCAGAGCCAGCCTTCTTAAACTGGCTGAATTATGTGTGCACGGAAACTTATAACGGCTCCTACTGCCTTCTAGCTTTGCTCCTCAAAGTGTTATCATCGGAGCAATAGCATTGGCTTCACATTGGAACTTGTTCAAAATGTAGAATCTCACACCAGACCTACCGAATCACAATCTGCATTTTCATAGATTCAAATGCACATTAAAGTTTGAGAAGCACAGGTCTACAGAATAAAGTCTAAGCTCTTTAGTATGGCTAGTAAGGCACTTTGTGATCTGGCTCCAAATTACTTCTTAAGGTTGGGCACGGTGGCTCACACCTCTAATTCCATCACTTTGGGAGGCCGAGGTGGGTGGATCACCTAAGGTCAGGAGTTTGAGACCAGCCTGGCCAATATGGGGAAACCCTGTCTCTACCAAAAATACAAAAATTAGCTGAGTGTGGTGGCACATGTCTGTAGTCCCAACTACTCAGGAAGCTGAAGCAGGAGAATCACTTGAATCCAGGAGGTGGAGGTTGCAGTGAGCCAAGATCACGCCATTGCACTCCAGCCTGGGTGACAGAGTGAGACTCCATCTCAAAAAAAAAAAAGAAAGTGAATTAATGAGCTGTTAGTAGGTTGTAGTTTATCTGAAACATACTTGTGTGTTTCAATACCTTTTGCCACTTCCATCCATTCAGTATGATGTCGGCTGTGTGTTTGTTATTTTGAGGTATGTTCTTTCAGTGCCTAGTTAGTTGAGAATTTTTAACATAAAGGGATGTTAAATTTTATCAAAAGCCTTTTCTGCATCTATTGAGATGGTTCTGTGTTTTTTCTTTTAGTTCTGTTTATATGGTGAAACACGTTTATTGATTTGTTTATGTTAAACTGAACTTGCATCCCAGGGATGAGGCCTACTTGATCATGGTGAATTAGTTTTTTGATGGGCTGTTGGATTCGACTTGCTAGAGCCCAGAAATAAAGCTGCATACCTTCAATTATCTGATATTTGGCAATGCTGACAAAAACAAGCATCGAGGAAATGACTCCCTATTCCATAAACGGTGCTAACCATATGTATAAGATTGAAGCTGAACTTCTTCCTTAAACCACACACAAAATAAACTCAAAACGAATTATAGACTTACATGTAAAATGTAAAACTATAAAAACCTTGGACGATAACCTAGGAAATACCATTCTGGACATTGGCCCTGGCAAAGATTTCATGATGAAAATGCCAAAAGCAATTGCAACAAAAACAAAAATTTATAAATCGAACCTAATTAGACTAAAGAGCTTCTGCATGGTAAAAGAAACTCTCATCAGAGTAAACAGACAACAGAATGAGAGAAAATATTTGCAAACTATGCATCCAACAAAGTCTAATATCCAGAATATATAAGAAACTTAAACAAATTAACAAGCAAAAACCAAACAACTCCATTAAACAATGGGCAAAGGACTATGAATAGCCATTTCTCAAGAAAAGACATACAGGCAGTCAAGAAGCATATGAAAAAATGCTCAGCATCACTAATCATCAGAGAAATGGAAATCAAAACCAAAATGTGATACCATATCACACCAGTTAGAATGCCTATTATTAAACAGTCAAAAGAAAATAACAGAAGCTGGCAAGGCTGTGGAGAAAAAGGGAATGCTTATACACTGCATGTGGGAAAGTAAATTAGCTCAGCCACTGTGGAAAGCAGTTTGACAATTTCTCAAAGAACTTAAAACAAAACTGACCCAGCAATCCCATTATTGGGTATATACCCCAAGGAATATAAATTGTTCTACCATAAAGACACCCAGACATATGTGCAATTGCAGCACTGTTCTCAATAGCAAAGTCATGGGATCAATCTGAATGCCCATCAACAGTAGACTGGATAAAGAAAATGTGGCACATATACACAATGAAATACTATGCAGCCATAAAAAGGAATGAGATCATGTTCTTTTCAGTAACATAGATGGAGCTGGAGAACATACTCTTAAACAAACTAACACAGGAACATAAAACTAAATACCGCATATTCTTTCTTATTAGTGGGATCAAAACATTGAGTACACGTGGGCACAGAGAAGGGGACAACAGACACTGGGGTCTACTTGAGGGTGGAAGGTGGGTGGAGAGAGAGGATTGAAAAACTGTCTACTGGGTACTATGCTTATTACCTCAGTGATGAAATAATATATACACCAAACTTCTGTGACACATAATTTATCTACATAACAAACCTGCACGTGTTTGTTATGTATGAACCCAAAATAAAAGTTAAAAAAGAATGTCCATATGGCATTACTCATAAGAGCCAAAAAGTAGAAACAGTTCAAATGTTCATCAATTGATAAATGGATATATAAAATGTGGTATATTTATAAAATGGAATATTATTTGGCAATTAAAGGTAGTATTGATACAGGCTGCATTCTGAGTAAATCTTGAAAATATGCTGAGTGAAAGAAGCTAGTCACAAAGGACCACATATTATATTATCGTATTTATATGAAGTGCCCAAATAGGCAAATGTTTTTTGAGACATAAAGTAGATTGGTGGTTGCCTAGGGCTTGGAGTTTGGAGGGAAATTGGGAGTGACTGCTAATGAGTGTAAGGTTTCTTTCTGGGTTGGATGACAATTTTCTAAAATTGGTGCTGGTGGTAGTTGTACAACTGTGTGAAGATACTAAAAACCATTGAGCTTACACTTTAATTCGATGAGTTGGATGGTATGTGAATTATGTCCTTATAAATCTGTTGCTTTAGTTTTGCTCCTTCTTTAAATTCTACTAAAATGCCAGTAAATTGATTTTTCTTGTAAAAAGGCATAAACTAACTCAACATCAACATTTTAGAACTTGGGAAATAGATGGATAAGGTCCCCAAAACATTAACTTAAAATTGACTGTAGGGAACACTAAGAAGCAGCATAGTTTTTGATGCTGAATCCCCAAAAGTCTCTGGAATAGACGGCAAGTTGTTCACCTCCTCCCGCCCCCCGCCAGAAGTGGGAAAACAGGATTGGTTGAAGATCTAGAGACTGAGAGATCCATTCTTCCTTATCTGCATAGCTGGGCAAATGCTCATTCTGCCTCCAGAAGAAGATAGGAGGTTTATTCTCTGGAGAGGGAGAACAGAGGAGGCTGAGGGATATCAAACACAGTTGAGGTCAGAGGTACCATACTAAAAACAGGGAGATAAGTGAAAACGGGCATTTCGAATGGAGAGACTACCCCAAGTCAGTCTCTCGTTTGTTCCCAGAGCTCTAGCATCCAGAAACACACCCTGCAGGCAGAGATTTGAGAGGGTCTTCTCTGGGAACTCTGACCAGTCCAAGAAAAGAGATTTAAAGTCAGCATTTTGCTGTCTCCTCTAAGTGGGAGCAACCCACCCACGTACCAGAACTTTTAACATAAAAGGTCTTAGTGCAATAGTTTTAAAAATATACCGTGGATTATTTTTAAAAGGCAGAAGTAAACAAAAGGTATAACAAATTTCATATAATAAGCATATAGTTTTAATCATTATCAACACATGGCCAACTTTGGTTACCTTTACCTCTCTCTCTGCCCAATAGATCATTTAGAAGCAAATACTGGACATCCTATTACTTCACAAATTCTTCAGCGTACATCTGTAAATGATAAGTATTTAAAATAAGCAAAGTAGTGTTACTATAACTCAAATATAATTCTTTAATATCAAATATCCAGTCATTTTTCAATTTTTCAATTTCTTCCAATTATCTCATAAATGTTTTTTTCTACAACTTGTTTGAATAGGCATCCAAGCAAGGTCCTCACTTTGTGTTTGGTTAATGTGTCTCTTAAGTCTGTGTATCAAGCCCCTCTTAGGCGCACCACCTCAGATCCTCTCAGCCCACCTTTCCCCAGGCCCTTGGCCACTTGTTTTATTCCAGTTGCTTAGTAACAGGCTTCACATAAACAAAACCCAGCAGTGGTGAGGCATCATGCCCATGCCATGGGCCTCCTGCATTCCTTCTTGGGAATTCCTTTTCCATGAGGTGTGAGTTATTTTGGAACCCATGAATGTGCAACAGGGAAGTTTGGGGTTGTTAACACTCAAAGGTAAATGTGATCAACGGGTGATGGGAGCTAGTGCATCAATTCTTCTATCTTCCTCTTCCTAAGTAGGTTGTCCTGAAATGCAGTAGCTCGAATTGTGTCTCAGAAGACAGTCCCTCAAGACTGCACACTTGGCACCAAGTGGGGCAGGTCAGAAATGCACACTCTTTTATTGACCTATTTTCTCTTCTATTTCCCCTTCCCCTCATTTCCTGGAATAAGCTTTGCTGCAGGCTGTCTTTACTAGGGGACTCACGTAAGACAATTTTAGAGACTTTCTCATCCTTTTAATTTCCTTTGTAATCTACTTGTTGAAGAAAACACATCATTTATTTATCATCTAGAGTTTCCCACATTCTGGTTTCTGCTGATTGTACACCTCTTAATAGTTAAACAAGTTTCTCAATCCTTTGTCTTTAATTTGGTATTTGGATCTAGATACTTTATAGATTCAGGGTTGATTTTCCAGCAGGAACATTAAGTAAATGGTGTTTTAAATGTCCTATTGCAGCTGGGTGCAGTTGCTTACACCTGTAACCACAGCACCTTAGGAGGCTGAGGTGGATGGATCACCTGAGGTCAGGAGTTTGAGACCAGCCTAGCCAACATGGTGAAACCCTGTCTCTACTAAGAATACAAAAAATTAGCTGGGTGTGGAAGGGGGCACCTGTAATTCCAGTTACTTGGGAGGCTGAGTCAAAAGAATTGCTTGAACCCAGGAGGTGGAGGTTGCAGAGAGCTGAGGTTGCTGCATTTGCACTCCAGGCTGGGTAAGAAGAGCAAATCTCCATCTCAAAAAAAAAAAAAAAAAAAAAAAAAAGTGTCCTATTGTATCTATTGCATTATGTCAGGAGAAAAACACATTTGACTACCTGAATATCTTTTTGTTATGTCAAGATAAATCAGTAGGTTCAGGCATTGTCAGACTGATCTTTCTGTTAGAAATTCTGATACTGGCTTATTTTTAAAAGCAAATTTATAAATGTTTAATTTACATACAATAAAATACATTCACTTTTTACACCTGTGTAACCACCACCATAGTTAAGGTAGAACGTTTTTTAGATTCATCTTTGTTATTGTGTGTATCAGTAGTTACATTTTGAATTTGCTGAGCAGAATTTCATTGTATGACTATAACATGACTTATTTACCCATTTACTTGTTGATGAACATTTGTATTGTTTCTAGTTTTTGCCTGTTGTGAATAAACTTCTATTATTTTCAAGTCCTTTTGTTCAACTGTTTTTCCTCTTGAGAAAAATACTTAGAATTTCTGGGTCACATGGTAAGCATATATCAAACCATATAAGGAACAGCCAAATGATTTTCCAAAGCAGTGGTATTTTTTTATATTTTTGCCCCCAATGCAAAAGAGTTTCAGTTGCTTCTTATCAATACTTGGCATTGGCAGTCCTTTTTTTGAGAGAGAGAGTCTTGCTGTGTCACATAAGCTGGAGTACAGTGGTGCGATCTCGGCTCACTGCAACCTCCGCCTTCCAGGTTAAAGTGATTCTCCTGCCTCAGTCTCCTGAGTAGCTGGGATTACAGGCTTGTGTCACTACGCCTGGCTAATTTTGACAGTCCTTTTAATAGCATCATACTTTTGGATATGCATTGATAACACACCATGGTTTTAATTTAACTTTTCTAATCATTGCTAATATTGAGCTTCTTTTCATGTGTGTATTGGCCATTTGTATATCAGGTTTTGCAAAGTGTCTATTCTAATATTTTGCCCATTTTAAAATTCTGTTGTAAACTTCTTATTGAGTTGTAAATTCTTTATATATTCTTGATAGAAGTTACGTAATATGTAACAGATACATTAAAGTTTCTCCCAGTTTGTGGCTTCTCCTTTCATTTTCTTAACAGTGTCTATAAAAATAAAACATAGATGCTACCCTCAAAGGTATGAGCCTATTTCTAGACTGTCTACTCTATTCCACTGATGTATTTTTTTATCCACATGTCAATAAAACATCTTGATTGTTATAGTTTTACAGTAAGTCTTGAAATCAAATGATATAAATCCTCTCAGTTTTTCTTCTGTAAAGTTGTTTTAACTATTTTAGGTCTTTTTCAATTTTCATATAAACATTTGAATCAGCTTGTCAATTTCTATAGAAATACCTAATTAGATTTTGATTGGAACTGCATTGAATCTATAAATCAATTTGGAAAGAAATGACATCTTAACGATTTGAGTCTTCCAATTCATAAACATAGTATACCTTTTTTATTCGGGTCTTTAAAATTATTTTCACTATTGTTTTGTAGTTTTCAGTATGCAAGTCTTGTATATTTTTTGCCAAATGGATCCTGTAATAGATTGCTTGTGACATTTAAATGGTGTTTTTAAACTTCCAATTTTCAATATGTCATTGTTAGTATACATAAATATAAATTGATTTTTATATATTGATTTTTATTATACCGTCCTTTATTAGTTTTAGTATTCTTCTTGTAGATTTCTTAGGACTTTCTACGTATGTAATCATATCATTGCTGAACAAGGACTGCTTTGTTTCTTTCTTTTCAGTAGGTATGTCTTCTATTCCTTTTTCTTGCTTGATCATAATGGCTAAGAAGTCTGGCATAATATTGAATGAACATGGTTAAAAGAGTATTCTTGCCTTCCTCCTGATGTTAGAATGAAAGTCTACATTTAGGGATGATGTTAGTTGTAGGTTTTTCAATGATGCTCTTTATTAGATGAAAACACTTCCATTTTTTCCTACATTCCTGAAAGTTTTTATTATAAATGGGTGTTTGATTTTTTGTTAAATGCATTTCCTGTATTTATTAGAATCAATAGTTTTCCTTTGTTCTAAGCAATATTACATTGATTGATAATACTATAATAATGTTAAGCAAACCTTGCATTCCTGAGATGAAAATCATTTGGTTATGGTATATTCCCCTTATTACATATTGTTGTGTTTAATTTGCTAAACATTTATTCAGGGTTTTTGAGTACATATTCATGTGAAATATTGATATGTAGGCTTTTTCCCCCTAATAATATCTTTTTTAGTATGGAAGTCTTGTATATTTTTTGCAAAATGAATCCTATCTAATTTTGGTATCCAAGAAAGCCTGGCATCACGGAATGCGTTAAGTAAGAAATATTTCCACCTCTTAAATTTATTTGAAAGACTTTGTCTAGAATTGATATTATTTTTTCCTTAAGTGTTTGATAGAATTTGTCTATGAAACCAACTGGGACTGAAATTTTCTTTGTAGGAGGCTTTTAAGTTATAAATTTTATTTTTAATAGGGGATTATTTGAATTTTTACTTTTTCTTGACTAAGTTTTAGTAGTTTGGTTTTTTTCCAAAGAATTTTTAAAATTTTCATCTCTTTTGTCAAATTTATGTGATCAATTGTTTGTAATATTTCTTTATTATCACTTTTCTTTGAGACAGTGTCTTGCTCTGTGACTCAGGCTGCAGTGCAGTGATGTGAAGCTCACGGCAGCCTCAACTTCCAGGCTCAAGTGATTCTCCCACCTCAGCCTCCCAAGTAGCTGGGACTACAGGCATGCTCCTCCACAACTGAGTAATTTTTAAACTTTTTGTTGAGACGGGGTCTCACTGTGTTGCTCAGGTTCATCTCAAACTCCTGGGCTCAAGTGTCCTCCCATCTTGGCCTCCCAAACTGCTGGGACTATAGACATGACCCACTGCTTCTGGCCTTTTACTATCTTTTTAATGAATGTGATATCTCTAGCTAGAGGGTTATCAATTTTACTTTTTCAAATAAACAGCCTTTGTTTTTGATTGATTTTTATCTATAGTTTTTCTATTTTCAACTTTGCTGACTTTAGCTCTTAACTTTAATATTTTCTTTCTCCTACCTTGGATTTAATTTATTCTTCTTTTTCTTAGCTTAAAGTCAAAGCCTTGTTTGTTGACTTTAGAGCTCCTTTTATGATAGTTTAAACCATTCAAATTCTGTAAATTTCTTCCTATGCACTGTTTTAGCTTCATCTCACAAAATTTGCTTCGTTGCTCTTTCATTTTCATTGAGTTCAAAATATTTTCTAATTTCTATTGTTTTACCTAATTTCTAATTTCTTTTACCTGTGGGTTATTTAGAAGTATATTGTTAGTTCCAAGCATTTGTATATTTTTAGATATTTTCCTGTTGTTGGTCTCTAATTATTGCCTTGTGGTCACATATGGAACAAAATTGTATTACTATATAAGTTCAATACGTTCCATTTTATTGAGATTTATTTTATGTCCTAGTGTATGGTATTCCTTCATAAACATTCCATATGCACTGGAAAGAGTGTGTATTCTGTAGTTGTTGGATATAGTGTTCTATAAATATTAGTTATTTCAGATTGATTTATAGTGTTTTTCAGCTCCATTATACCCTTACTGATTTTTTGTTTGACTGTTCAATCTATACTTATGTTTTGCTTGAGATGAGATGTATTTCTCTGGCTGCTTAGAGCCACTTTCAATAGATTCAGCCTTTTACACTGATTTTACCATATTTAGATTCCTATACTCTTTTGTCTTGATGTGTGACTGGATTT